ATTAGAAAACTTGAACTTTTGTTCTAAAATGCAAAAAAAACTTCTATTAGAGTTGCTGCAGGTATGTTATCGAGTCATATTGCCAAAAGAAACGTCACATATTGATAAAGTTTTACTAAAAAAGAAAAAAAATTACATATCATCAATGTGTAGAAACTTCATATCCATCAAATGCAGAGATCGAAATATTGAGGTGTTACCGGAGGACAAAACTTCAGCATTTTCGGGGTTAATTAAAGGTTGGCAATAAGCGGCAAAAACGGGTTGAATGAATGTTGAAGGAGACGATACGGACATATATGCTTGATAGTACTCAGCTGGATGCAAGTATCGGCCTTCTATTAAAACAAACTAAAAGCGCAATAGTACAGTATCTTCATCCCACTTAAACCTAACTATGCTACATGCAAATAAGAAAAAACAAATAAAATTTATTGGTAAAAGTGCACCTTATGATATTGCAGTTGCCTTTTAGCAGTTCGAGACAAGTTCATCCGACATATAAATACCTTCTCGTCGGGAAACGCATTTGGAACAGATACAGATGGAGGTCCAGACATCAATTCACTTTGCACAGTTCCGTGGTCTCGACTGTCTACTAGGTCATAAAGTGAATCTCCTTGACACATAATCTCTTCCTACCAAAGCGAAAGTTTATTCTTTTTATTAGGTTAAAAAAAGTTGAAAAAATTTACTTTGGCTAGTTTTTTTCACTAACGCTCAACTCAGTTTCTTCTGACGTCTTCAATCCGTTTTGAAAATAAACCTCATTATTTTTTTTATTTATTTATTTACTGATTCTTCGCTAAGCCAGTTCACTCAAGCTTTGATGCGACTAACATACCACAGAGTGTCCGAGATATTCACTGGCATTTTCAGAAATGTACAACATTTTGCCATTTTTAGTAACCATGAGCAAAAATCCACGTAACGCTTTACATCCATCGTACTGTTTGAATGGTAAACGAAACAATGATGAAGAATCACTTTGACGAGCAACTAAACGGTAAATTATTTGAAAAAGTCGCGATATAAGACTGCCAAAAAAAACTGACTATGTGGCAAGTATCGTTGTTTCCTTATAAAGATGCAGGCCAAAGACATGACCTGAAGCTGGAATAGTCGGTCCTTAATGGATTCTGATAACGGCAAAAGATCGCGTAACTTTTGAATTTCAACATTTATTTGATCTCGTCGTTGTTTGGAAGCGCCGCGAGTCGACCTCAATTTTAAAGCAGTAGGAAATATTTTTAAAAAAATAATTTTCTTTTCCCTTTTTTATTTGAAAAGAATATACTTAAAATTTGGATTTAATAAAACAGGAAACAAAAGTTCAATACAAACTTTGAACAAAAAACTACACAGAATCTCGGTTAGCGTCGAAGGTTGATTATCTCAGGCAAAAAATGATCAGTTTTGTTAAATTTTTTTATATTTTTCTCGGTCTTTGTTTTTCAGAGTCTGATAAGCTAAAATAATCTTAAACAGATCAGATAAATGTGTTTCAAGGCATTCGTTCAGTCGGTTCAATTAAAAGAAATTTTTTTAGTTGGAACTCTGCAATAACCGGCTCAATGGTATCACTTAGGAACTGAACAGAAAGATGAACGATCAACATTTGCACGGTTTCATTCTTGGAATTATCACAACCATAATTTTTTTTTATTTAATACAGTGTTAGAATTTTTTTCTCTAAAATTTTTTCCTTACCAAAAAAATTTTTCAAATATTCTTCTCCTTTATCAATTGACTACTATAAACAGTCAAATGCAAAAAAAAAATTTTTTTTTGTTAGGAAAAAATAAATAAATGATTTAAAAAAGTTTTATTTTATGGTATAGGTTTTTTACGGTTTGTATATACAGTAAATGTATCCCGTTTCTCAAGCAGCTAAAATAAAATAAACTGAGAAAGGTGAAGAAAAAAAAGTTTTGTTGTTGTTGTTGTTGTTGTTGTCGATTTTCATTTAAAAACGATATGACATAATTAATGTTTGGTTTATTTCCTCTCGCCGTTCACCCAAAGTC